AAGAGAAGGCTTGATCTTCGCAATGCAACTGAATGGTGTCTGTCATCATCAGGACTGATCCTGGACTAACTGGACCAGAGCAGCAGCCTGCCCATCAGCAATGCTGCTAGCTAATTGAAAAGCTAACAGATAAGGCTGTCATATTAGCATGCCGGCAACTCCTCCCCTACAAAATTAGCTTGGGTAATGATAATAATTACAAATGGAGTTTGAATCCTGTGTCTGCTGGCAATGGGTGAAATTGGTTACTGCCTGATAGCTCTTTGTTGAGCCAAGGAAAATGAATTGATGTTCTTGGTCCAGTTCCTAAGACATGAGCTTCTACAGCACAGGACTTCACCCTTGGGGGACACCTTTACTACGAATGTCAACAATGGCTTGGAAATATGTGGGCATAAAGGCTTGGCTGCCCATTTGTACTGACTAGTCCTCACCGGAGAGTGCTGGACCCCAAATAGAGTATGAAGTGGAGCTTGCTGTCTTGCTAGCCCAGATGTACCCACAGTGCAACCAAAAGGGAGTGGGGGGAGCTCTGCTATGTCTGCAGAGAGGAGAGATAGAGCTAGTCCTGGCAGTGGTGGGTAGTCAGAAAACCAGAACCACTGCATGCCTGAGAACAGTGAATGAGATGACATATTTTTAATGTTTTGTGAGGGAACTTTGCTTTTGTTTTCCTCAACAACCTAAGCCCGTACCAAATGCACTGAAGAACTCAGCATCCTGGAAAGCATTCCCCATCCGAGGGTCCACAAAGCTGCCATACCACTAGATCCATACCTGGCTCTGGTCAGGGTGGATGTCCCTTGGACCAGGAGGAATAAGTTTGTTTGGCAGTTCTTGGATGCTATGGGGTGTATTTCCACTTCTTCCTGGGCACATCACTGGGCAGAAGACCACAGAGCAGAACTCACTCTTTTCTCAGGGTTCTGCTCTGTGCCTCTTTCCAGTTCCCTCATTTCGCTGATCCTTTGACAGTCAATCCCTTCTCTCTCTTGTTTGCTGCCTTTTTCTCTCCCCATTTTCTCATCTCTTCCTCCCTTTCTCTTCCTAAGGAAGCTTTATTTTTGGAATGAGCATTTTGTCCTGTCCCTCACAATGCAATCCAGTAGGGCAGGACCTGTTACTGGCGAGCAGAGCGCTGATGGTGTGAGACACAGCAAAACCCAGTGCAGATGGTCTCCACTGCTATTGTACATCACACACTGTTACAAGAGAGGCACTGGGCTCTGGGTGGCTAAGAAGCTTTGGCAGATGAGCACAATCCCTGTTACTATGGCTAATGTGGAAATGGCAAATGCTCTTGTGCTGCTGCAACATGACTCACAGGATCATGGCACAACAGATTATGCTCTTTGTCCCCACTATATGTTGTGACACATTGCCACGTTCAATAGATCGGCAAGCTGAAAGACTAAAGGGCAGGCATTAATACACAAAAAGGTCAGATCTCCAAAGGGGCTCAGACTAGTGGAAGGGGAAATATTTACTCCCTTGTTATTATGTCCGTGCCAAAAAGAGCACTGTGAAGCATTATGTGCTGGCTGAGCCTGGAGAGGGTGAGAGCATGGCTTGCAAAGTGTATGCCTGCAAGGAATGGTTTTCTAGCGCTACTGCATGTATCTGTAGCCTGGCCAGAGCCACAGGAGAAGCTAGTTTCTGCAGGGACTGGGGCTGTTATCAGAGACCTGGTAGGTAGGGAAGTTCAGCCTACTCTTGTCTTTGCCCCAAAGCCATGGATGGTTCAGTAGTCTGACTCAAATGATACCATGTGTGTCCCTGCTCCATACAAAGGGAATCTTAAAAAAAAGAGCACAGGGGGAAGACAGAAAAAAAAAAAGTGTGAAACTAGAGACTAAATACAATTACATGGTATGGACCTGCCTTTATAGTGCAAAGATTGTGGAGTTCTGAAGTCCTTTAGATGCAGCATCAAAAATATTATAGCTAGACACAAAGGTGGACGTGTAGACAAATTGAACAATTAATGGGATTTATTTAGGTCTGGATGATGTGGATGTCATGCCTCTACAGATTTTGATTGTCCTGTTTTGCTATTTTCAGGCAACAAAGAACATTCTGCTACAGGATATAATGGTGTGAACCCACATTTGATTTTTTTGTGGAGTATGAAAGAGTATCTGAGAGCAAAATTTGAGCTTTAAACAATATATGGCAAGTCATAATCATAGCAAGAGTATGGTTATGTACATAATACTGCAGCTCTCTCAGTCACTTTCCGAATGAGAGATATACCATAAAAGAAAGTTGTTTGGAAAATGCTGACTTTGGATGGGGACTGGCATGTTCTTTTCTTCTCTATAATGCTAGTACAATTGCATGCTCAGCTTTAATATTTTATTTCTACCCTTGCATTTAGAAACACAGACATGCAGAACCACAGGGCAGATGCAGTAACAAATGCTGTGGAGGAAAGTGCAAAAAAATCCCATAATGAACAATAATGGAATAAGCTGCCCAGTGATGAAATCTTCTTTCTAACCCCAAGCAATTAGTAGCTGGCTTATACCATAAAGCATGAAGGTTTGTGTCCTTTCTACATTTTTATCCAGCCTAAGATGGCTGTGGATGTTCTCATTACCCATATAAATGTCTAACCCTTTTTAAATTTTTTTTCCAATGCTGCTAAGGTCCAGGTCTCAATAAAGCCTGTGGCAAGAGGTAAAGTTTTGGAGAGTGTGTAAATGCTTGTGAGAAGGAAGAGAATAAGGCAGAGCAAACACATGATGTGTCCTACACCCAAACTGCTACAAAGGGGCTTGCTTTTAGCGTTTCGTTGCTAGTGGGGACAGGCAGAAGTAAAATGAGAGGTGAAGGTTTGGCCTGTCACTGTTCCCTTTACACCTCTGCTATAACTTAAGATGTCACTAAGTTATGGGGAAGCTGAGCACTGAGAAGGACCAATGTATTGCTGAAGACACACCGAGATAAATCCAAATTTTACACAAAGCAGACTATTTGGATGTCAGCTTTACTGGCAGAAAGGAGCCTCTGCCCGCAGCAAAGTGGAGCAAGGATGACAGCCACCTTCCAGTGTGTTACTCTGCTGGTGTTTGTGCAGGGACTTACTGTGAAATGCTGGCCGAGCAAGTCTCTCCAAAACTCAGAGAGAATCAGATTAAGGCCATTGACTTTTATATGATCATGGATGAAATACCTAACTGAAAGCTTGCTTTAATTATGGTAGTTGGAGATAGTGACAAAAGCTCAAGTCATTAGGATTCATCTAGAAAAATCATCTTTTCTCAGATATCTGCAGTAATGGATCATGGGAGATCAGCTAAAAGGAACGAGATCTACCAGAGAAAAGGATAGATGTAGAAATGGATGAATAAATAGAGAGATGATGGACTGGCAAACAGGTAAATACTTAGATAGATGAGTAGTTGAACAGATGGCTATATTTATATAACCTTAAAGACAGGATGCTTTTTTGGTGCTGTGGTTGAGATCACTGAGCATACTAAGGGCTCTCTGCAATATTCTGATGCCTCGGTAAGAATCCAAGAGCTCCCCATCCCTCTAAGCTGCTACAGACATGTGTGTACGTGCCTAACTTTTAGCACAATAAGCCCCTTAATTTCAATTCTGCTTAAAGTTGAACTAATGGATAAACGTTTACAGAGTGTGGGAGGGGAAGAAGATAATTATTTTTCAGCTCTTGGTATTTCTGGGCTTCCCTTTGCTGCATTCACAGGGTGGCTTTTTTCGGTGACATTGTCTGAACTGTAACTAGGTAAGACTTTTGTATTTCTATGTTATGTGATATTTTTCCTTGTAGCTCGTAAAGTCCCCTGTGATGTTAAATCTTCTGAGTTTTCAGGACTGGCTGAGATCGAAAGAATTTTTTTTCTTAGGGGTTTTGTGGGCTTTTTGGCTGGAGCATCTGACTCAGTGTTTGATTTCCTAACAGACTAGATCAATCCATGAGTGCCCCAGGGTAAAATACTCCTTCGCCAGCTGGTGGCTGGAATCAATTAGTAACATTTACTTAAATTTTTATTGTTATGATTTTTATTATTAGTATGTGTACAGCAATGGTAAGGAATGTCTTCCTAGTAGAAGTACAGCTTGGAGGAGAGGGCTATCTCAAATCCTGAGGATGCTGAAAAATTGTAAGGGCACATTAAGGACTTCTAAACTCCTGAGTTCTTGGTGATTACAGCCTCAGAGTGACCATTTATTTGTAAGTACAGGTACAGAGGCACGTGTGTATCCTTTAACATCCCTCATTCATTCCTGGCTGCCAGGGCTTGCAAAATCCCTCCTTCAGTGCTGGCATGTTTTGAGCTAGCCATGATCTGAATCCCAGGAGCAGTTCTCTGGTGGTGTGCCACAAAATGGTGAAGCTGAGCCCGATCTGTGGCTATATTAAAGGAGCTTCAGTCTCCAGGTGTGGTAAGGCAACAGGATTTGGATGCAGTGAGCATTTCGGAGACCAATACTCGCTGTCTGTGCACATGGTCTGAGGCATGGAGCAGTTTGGGTCAGCAGCCATGTGGAACCTGTGGATAGGTTCTCCCAGAGACATCTGGCTGCAAGGGAATCCCAGCAGGACATACCAACGGTGGGTGCTAGGAGATGCAAACAGACTTAGTGCAGCTCCTTCAAGGCTAGCTAGGAGCAAGACCCTTGGGAATACTGCTGGGGTCTGCCAGAACGAACTGCTCGGGCCTCAGATCAGATTTTAGCTAAAGCAAAACATGCTGTCCTGGTTATATTCACCAGACAAGTCACCCAGCAGATGAGCGCTCAATTCTTCAGCATAAAATTTTTCCACCTCCAACATGCCCTTGATGTCTATCATCCAGATTTAAGTGTACAAAGACTGTAGCTGGGTAAGACCTAGATGCTAGAGTGAGCCCTGATGGTGTGGGATATAATTCTTCTGAGGTGGTTTATGCTAGACAAAGCCTGTGGATGTGGGCAATCTCCCTAAGACTGAAGGAGCAGGTTGTGGGCACAGCATTGGTCTGGCTTACCTGGGTAAGGGTGGATGCCATTAGCAAACACAGCTTCAGCGGCGGGCTGCCCATTAGCCTGCGGTGGGAGGCCAGTGAAACCATTCACCCCGATTGGAGATGGGATGCTAGGCACAGCTGGTGCAGTTATGCCAGGAGGCGTGCTTCCACCTGCAGGTGGGGAGGGAGGACACAAAATCAGAGCTGGTGAGTACTGGAAGCAATAACTACATGGAGAAAACTGCTGACACAACAGCTGTGACCGGCACACAGAACCCTCTGATAATCCAAGAAATTAAAAATCTCCCAAGATGTTGTTCAAAGAAAGGGACTGCTTGCTGTTGCTCCTCTGTTTGGAAAGCATTTAAGAAAGGCTTGCAAAACTTTCTTCAACAGAATGAAGCTTTCGCTTTGTGATCATGGTCTCTAGGCTAGATCCATGACTAACATCAAGCTATAGAAAACTATAGAAATCTAATCACTCTTCCTCTCCAACTTTCTCCCTGGAGTATTACGTGTTTAAATTGCTAAATAAGCAGATGTTTCTTTCCTAGACAACATTTAGTGCCAGAAGCAAATTCTCAGTCCCACCTTTCTCCAGCAGCTCCTCTCAGTTTCTCTTTGGAGATATCAGCTTTGTGAGGTGTACTGATTTCCAGGACTACTCTGTGCTCTTTCATGAATACACATTTCATGTACAAAATTGTTCTGAACTTTCTCAACACCAGGGATCCTTAAAAGTTTTGGCAAGTTGATTCGTAGCCCAAAGGCAGCCAGTGATACTTTTTTTGAGTGCACTGTTTGGCCCAAACTTGACTTTGTAGAGTTTTAGCAGACCTCTCCCACTCAAAACCAGGGCAAAATTTGTGCTAGATTTGTTTCTTTCATGGGATCATACTCCTCCCCTTCTTCCCAGATGCATCCTGTGGGGGATTGTATTGCTGCTATTTCAGAACAATTTAGTCTTTATGTTTTGGGTGGGATCGTGTCACCCACTGGTAGACAATTCTTAAATTTCAGAGGGGAGAATTAAATCCCTATGCTTATTGCCTGCTCCTATGTATGTTTAAAATGACTGGACAGCTTGTGCTTCTTGCAACATATTCAGGATATTTTTGGGGACCAAAAATGAGTTTTCAGTAGGTATGAAATCACATTTTTCTCCTGCTATCTGTGAGTAGGAAGTTAAACTATCTTGTCTTCAGCAATATCGTTCTGTGTCAGGGTATACTACTGATGGAAAGTACCATTTTTGCAGTAACCTCTTTTTTAAACCAATTGCAGAAATTTTCTTTACCATAGCAACATTCCATGATGAGTTAGTCCAATAACACACTTTAACGACTGCTTAAATCTGCGTTGGTGCTTTAAGAAAGCCAAGACAGATGTATAAGGTGTTTTAATATGTTCTGATCTAAGTAGCCCAAAAAGTAGGCAATATTTCAGCTCTTTTCTTATACCCTGAGCAGAAAAGCTGCTGCTTCCCCTTTGCTTATTTAAACGGTGTTGGCCTTTAAAAATGTCCTCTGTGGAGGTACAGGGAGCCAGCAGTGGCAACTGAAGTCCAAAGGCAATGCTCTTAGCATATGCCATCAGCTTGCAAATCACAAAGGCTAGTTAAAATTTCAGCTGCTTTTCTGGATCTCTCCTTTATTTGCATAGACAATGTAAGTAATTTTTTCTAAAATTGCAGCAAGGGATTTGTGCTTGATATTTTGTGCATGTCTGAGGAAGTTTAGGCATATTCATTGCAATTCTTTAATTTTCTTCTTATAAAGAACCCCCCTGGAGAGGTCAGATCTGTAGTTGGAGTAAAACTGGCATAATGCCACCGCAGAGAACAAATGGTGGTGTTGCATGCCAGTTGTGGATTTCATCCCTGGTCTGAGATTTCTTGCTGCAGCTACACCAGGTGCCGATTTACAACACAGAGGAGGGGAGGGAGAAGAGAAGAAAGGAGGAAGCCCAAATGAAATTTAATTTTTAGCCCCTCTGTGCAGTTAGCAGAGCGGCAGACCCACTGCAGGACCCACTTTTCACCTAGATTATACCGATGATGGGAGAAACACAAAACTTGACCCAAACTTTCAGGGATGTCAATTTAATTGTCTTGCAATTATGGATTGTTGTGTGAGATAAACCTGACTCTTGATGGGGAACCGCCAAAATGCCAGCAAACAGCATAAAATTGTAATGGTCTGAATTATACACTGGGACTGCCTACTACACTCCATTGACTGCAGCAAAGCCAGGTGACTGGTTTCAACTAGATGTCTAGCTTTTGTACGGTAAAAGCCAGGTGAGATGGATCCTTTCTCTAGACTGTTAGATTTGCCTGGATCCAAATCTCTTTAAGTTCCTAGGTCCCATGAGAACCCATGAGCCTGAATGAACTCATGGCCATGTCCCAGGGAAACCACCCTCCTAGGGCTGGGAGGCACAGAAAACCAGCTGGATTAGGTGGCCTGAAGATACCAGCACAGAGGCACTGTGCTGAGCCAATACCTCCAAAGCCTCTAGGACTTCTGGGTTACCAGTGTCCTTTCTCTAGCACAATTTTTCTTCTGCTTAGGAGAGATCAAAACACTTCTTTTTTTTTTTTTTTTTTTTTTTTTTTTTTTTATGTTCCGAACACTTTTTCTAATGCCTGTTTTTCAGAAAACTTTGAAATGTTTCATTTTCATTCCAAGTCAGAACAAAGATATACTTCAATGACTGGAAATCCTGCTATGAAGCAGAATGATCATTTTCCATTTGGCTTTCTGAATGCTAACAAAAGCCAGCAGGAGAATTCACGTCAGGCTTCAGATATCTCCTGGCTACTCAAAAATCACTGCCAGTGTTGTAGGCTTGCTTGCTCAGACGTTATGTGAAACATTTTCTGTGCATCTTATCACAAGCTTTGTGAGTGTTGTAGTAATACAAGGAGTTGATTCAAAGTCTAAACATTTCACCCAAGGAATAATTGCCAATGGACATTTCCACAATCAGTTACAGAGCTTTTCCATGAAGGAAGCTACCCATTTAAGGTAAATTTGCAATAATGCCAAAGTGCAGAGGCATGATTGAAAATATATCATAAGGAGAGCACAAAATTTGCCACCATGAAAGAGATCAAGGGATCATCTAAACGAGCATCTTATTTTCAATAATGACCTGTCATAGATGCTCTGGAAAGCATGTAAAAAACCATGAGCTTTCCTCTCTGGTATTCTGACAATACGCATTTACCAGTCACCAAAAGGCACCGGACACACCAGAAGAGGAGCAGAGCTTACATGGAGGGAGGGCTGGGTTATTTTTCATGTCCTGGATATCATGGTAGGCACAGGATTCGGCTGTTGTGCTGTTATTTACACACCTATGTCACAAAACTGCCTCATTCTTAAAACTTATTTATATGCAAAAGAGCTTGTGCTCTTTTGTGGTGGGGCCATCACAAACCACCGCCTAGGATTCAGCTTTCCAGGCCGTGAGAGCATTTGAATTCCAGGCAGCCTTTGTTTGACGTTCTCTCTGCTCCCACCAACACAAAACAAATCTAGCTAATGCAAATATGATAATCTTTCCAGCAGCGGGTTTAAAGGGTGCACATATAATTAAGCCTCTTTTCTATTTGGATTTGCAGTAGCTCCATCGACTTGTTGTTTATACATTTATCGTTTTGTAAACATATATTTCGAAATGTGTGGTATAAGATTTTTCAGTCATGCGCTTCTCCTTGGGTCTCCATAGGTTCACGTGGAATGAGATCTGTCTTTCTTTCTCTCCCTTTTTTTCCACCCTCGTATTCTAATACAGGCAAAGGAAAAGGCAGGTATCTGATCCAGTAGCTGCTGACACTGTTCCCAGTTACAGATTGCAAAGAGATGCTAAGCTGTGTATGAACACAGGGAGGTTTTCTTTGGCAGACAGGTTAGCAGAACTCTGTTCATTAGGAACGGCCCCCAAGCCTGCACTGCTGTGGTGGCTTATCTCCCTGCCATCCAGCATTTCTCAGCCACAAGGCATCTTGCCTGGATGCTTTGTCAGACGGCCCTTTCCCGCTCCAGGGCTGGTGCAGACCTATTCATGTTTGGCAATGAATCTGTCCCTTTCCTCTCCAGCTGCTCTGCTCTGGAGATCAGAACCTGCTCTGCTCAACGCTGCCTGCACCACAGCTGGCTCAGGCATAGCTCACTTCTCCCATGTCTCACCCCAAACCCTTGTCAAGCTGGTCCCCTCCAAGCCAGCTTGATGCTTCAAGGTTCACACAGGGCATTGGTATGCCACGTCTTTCTGAACACAGTCCCATCCCCAGTCCCTCTCATAGGAGCAACCTGCATCACCCCAGAGACCCTTTTGTCCCAGCCTGTCCCTCAGAAATGGTCCTCTGAAGATGTACCCTTGAGTCCTCTGCTCCCCTCAAACCAGCATATTGCAAAGCTGGGCAAATTCTCACTTCTTTCCTGTCATGGTTTGACATGCCACTCCATGACTACCAGCCCTGCTGGTTCTGTAACCTGTTCCCGCCCAAATGATTTCCTTGTGCTCCAAGTCCCAGGAAAGACAGTCCTGTCTCCATCTTAGCTTGATTTTCTGCCCACTAAATCATATCCTGCAGCTCCTAGCATGGCCTTCTTGTTACACCTCACATCCTAGCCAGATCCTGGCAGCCCTTCACTCACTACCTGCCTCTGCTCCAGCAGCCAGAAACCCTCTGACCAAACACTTGCATTCCAGGTAGCACCAGAGGTCTTCCCTGGGTACCTTCCATCCTATTTCACAGTAGGGGAAAGGCTCATGTGTCCCAAAGACATAGCTCATCTTATTAATGATATTGCATCTCACCACAAACCTTATTTGGCTTGTCTTTGGACCAACTTGGTTGTGACAGCACCATCACTGACCCCTTGGACATTTAGATGCATCACCAATAAACCAGCATATGTCACTGGGGGATGCTCTGTGACATTTGGAGTGGGCTCACAGCTAAAGGAAAATTATGTAAGGGATAAGGCTGAGAGGGAAGGGTCATGGCTGAGAGCCTTTTCCAAGTGCCTTTTCTGCCAGCACCCTTCCTTCTCCCCAACAAGCTCATTGCATCCTGGCTCTGATGGGTCTCAACCCTCTTGGTCTCCTCACTCACCACTGAGTGCCAGTCGGCACGGGCCACAGCTAGCCCAACAGCCCACTGCTGGTGAGCCCTTTGACTTTGCCCTTACAGCTATTTCACAGTACAGAAGCTGTCCTGCAGCTGGCTCCAACCCTGGAAGACGTGGTCACAGCCTTTTTATGCCCCTTCCCCCCTCTCCAAGACCACAAAAGGATCCGGTCAGATGCACTCCTCACTTCTGGTGGCCTTCATCAACAAGACCAACATTTCAGTGAACAACCACTGGGGGAGAATCTGTCAGCTAACATGTCCTGCCAGGTCTCTTCCAGGATGTGGCCAGATTTTCCTGCCCTCTGAGCCCTCTCCACCACCCCCAGCCCCTTACCTGAGGTTGGTGTCATGGGAGCGGCCGCCAGGCCGTTCATGTTCAGAGCCGCCATCTGCTGCATCTGGGCCACGGCAAAGGCTGCCATGGGGTTCAGGTAGCCACCCTGCGCCACCGACGCCATGATCGCGGCTTGCTGCTGCATCAGCTGGAACAAAGAGAGCAGGGAAAAAATATCATGCGGTCACCGGCAGGGCAGCCCACAGCACCAGCACCACGACGGGGAACCGGTGAGGATGCGAGGCATCCCTCTGCTTGGAGATGTCTGCTCACCATGCTGGTGGTACCCCTCAGCCTTGGCCTTCCTTCTTGCTATAGGACCCAGAAACAAAATGTATGTTTGCATCTTGGGATCTTTACCATCGCCATCCCCATGATGTGTTCCCCAGTGTGGAGGTCTCCCATGAGGTGGACTCAGCCCTCTGACTCCCTGGCCCTTCCCTGATGAGAAGGGCAGAGGAAAAGGCTTTATACGTTCCTGAGTGGAGAGGTTTCAGAGTTTATGTTGCTTGTCACAAAGCTCTGGGAAAGCACTGGTAGCTACTGGTGGGAGACCAGTGTATGTAAAGCAGTGGGGAGAGGGGATCCCCTCTCCAGAGCAGCAAGATGAGCTAATTCTCTGGGGATCGCTTAATTTCCATCTGCCAGTGGCAAAAATATTTTTTTCTTATGCAGCTGGGAGTCTTCTGGTGGACACTGAGCAAAACCATGACCAAATCTTCTAACCAGATTACAACACCTATTTCCAACACAACCAAGCAGAGACTCCATGAAGAGCTGTACAACAGAAGGGACCCCCCTACTGCAGCAGGATTAATACTGTGTAGTAGAAAAAACCCTCCCCTGTGGTTTTGATCTGGGATGATTCTCTTAATTTTATTTTTTTTCCAGAGAGTGATCAAAATGCTGTTTCTTTTAGGGCACCTACAAAAGGCAAAAAAGAGAAACCCAAGCTATATTTGTAGGTATTTGGGGGTAAAATTTTTGGAGTAGAAGGGTGGTGAATGGTTATGCATGCTGCAAATGCTTCTTACATTAAAACTAGCCTTTGCTGTCATTATTTTACACTCTGAGTCTAGCACAGAGTCATTGCAGTTCATGTGTACAGTATGGCTGCTGCGGGCCTGTAAAATGCTCCTGGAGTGAAGGAGAAGGAAGCCTGTATGAAGCTGCCTCTTGTCCCCTTTCCTGGAGCTGCAGGAAGAGCCAGATGGGGTATGTCTGAGTCTGCACGCAACCCCCACTAGTGACCGGGGGTGGATGCTGAGAGAAAGTGTGGGGGAAGGAGGATTAGCAGGGAACAAAACCTCACCCTGTTCATTCCACAGCCCCTGGTAATGAGTGACTTGATGATAATAGTGGAGAAGGAAACAGTTTTTCTATAGTGATTTTGGAAGTGACTCATGTCTTTGCTGTCTCCAGAATTGGAGTACCTCTGTTTTGCTGCTCTCTGTGATTTCACTCTCTCTCCCATCAGGAAATCACCCTCTGATGCTGTTGTTTAAGCACATGGGACACGCTTCTCAACATTAAACAGACCTCTAAAGTCATGGCAAGGAACAGACTGTTCCCTGCTGTTTGGTTTAATATTGAAATATCGGCTAAATTAACTGTTCTTACACATACACACTAAAACAAATCCTCGAAATTACCATGTTCATTCAAATGGTGAAACTTTCCTTGTCACCATCCATGAAGAGACCAAAGTAAAGCAGCCACTGACCTGCTGCATAACCGTGCACAGGTTGTGTAAACTTGCCTTGGTTTCTCCAGAGATAAAATGGGACACAGGATACCTGCCTCCCTGCGTAGGAGTGTCTTCAGATCTACAGATGAAAAGCACTGTACTAGAGTTGAGGACTATTATTTTTTGTAGCCTAATGCAGATTGGTGGCAAAGTGGTGGCTTTCCCTTTGATTGTTAATTATCCTTTTTTATTATACCCTGCATAAGACACTTTCACATTTTAATTAGTGATATCTTGTTCTTTGTAATTACTGATGGAGTGATTAGACAATCTTTTCTATTACAGCACAATGCTGATTCCCCTTTAAGGAGTACATTTGTTTCTAGGCATCGTTTGAGTTTATTCTCCAGAGGAGGCACTGAGCAGGTGATTTGGTAAGTATGCCAATGAAGTGAAGGAGGAAGGAGGAATCCATCCACCTTTAACACTGGATTGACTCCAGCCACGGGTGTGCTGACCAATATCTCACTTTTTCTGCCGGGAATTTTCATGTGGGGACAGCTGAGGATATAACTGGCCGGTTGCAGAAACGGTGACCAAGATCTGTGCCTATAGGATCTGTTTAGCTCTGAGATGGACACAGTTGCAAGGGCTGGGGACAGTCCCAGTCTGGCATTTGCTGACTTTTTTTCTGTGTTTCTGCAAAGCTGACCAGAGCTGCATGAGCAAACCCACCTCAAAACACGGGGTGACATATGGATGGTCATGTGTGTGCCGTGGTCAGTCTGGGTGGCAGATAACAGCCTGGTATTTGTACCAGAGACTTTCTAGGGCAGGCAGAGCACTGTGTTTTTGGCATTTCCTGTTGTCAGATTCAGTAAACTATATACAGATGGGGTTGCCTCTGAGCTGGACACCTATTACAGTTGATGTGATAACAGGCAGAGGAGTCTGGGCCAAGATTCATCTCTCCCTTCTGTACCCGATTGCCTTTGGGCAGGTGAATTGTGACTTTGTTTCTCCCTATCGACTCTATGTGGAGCCCCAGGTGATGAATTCAGCTGCACATACCAACACAGTCAGATGAAATCATCCCCACCCATTACCTGGCCCTCGGCAGATATTTTTGGACCTTGGTTCCCAACCATTTAAAAGAAAAGTGTTAATCCTTTTTTCATTTGTGTTTCACCTGTGCTGCAAGAGAAACAGGGCTCTATCTAAAAGATACTGCATTGCCAATGGTAGTACAAATGATTGTGCTGCTCCAAAGACAATCTCCTTTTTACACTCAGCAGGGCTAGGCAATCACTTGTGACATTATTTATGGCTTATGCAACTTTATCTCCTGCCTATGGATGTCTATAAGCTGTTCAGAGTTAACTCCACAATGGCAGGTGCTCCTCCTGGTTTGCAAATCAGGTAACCTGTGTCTGCGGCTTCTTGTGTATTCAGAGGGCTTATAAATTTGCACTGGAAGATGCATGTTTGTAGAACATAATTTGGTTACATGCATGCTCCTTTTTGCAGTGTAATGTCATTCATGTATTTCTATCACAGACCTTCAGAAAGAGGAAGGCATTTTCTCTCTCCTTATTGAGAATGACTAGATGATCCTAATCTGCTGATTATTGCTGAAGGTTCAGGGTCTGCAGCCTAAAGGCCAGTGGGTTTCAATGAAACAGTCACTTAAAACTGGGCACACCACCTCAGAGACTGAATTAGGAGTTTGAGGAGCAAAGAGGTTACATTTATCTTAGGGTTAAAAAGTTATGCAGTAAGAATAAGGCCCTAACCTGTGATTTGGGAAACTAGGTTCAGTTGCTTCTGCCACAGCAGGCATCCCACAGGGAGCAGCCACCCCATTTCTGTTATGCCCAGTGCTCTGGGGATACCCAAGATGCCCTGGAGACCTGGAAACCCCCCTGGCATGGTGAAATGAGCTGGAGCCTTGTGCCTCATGACCCAGAGGATGTACACCTCACTGCAGCCTTCAGAGCCAGCCCATGGGTTAACCCGGGGTCTCCTCCAAAGCTGTAATCGGTATAGAATCTCATACCTGAACACAGCCATGAACCCCAGTTAACTGGCTTTGCTTCCTTGGCTAAAGAGGGGACCCCAACCATGTCTCAACCACATCTGGACACCACAACCCTTGGCAACACTCTTGCCACCCTTCTTCTGTCACATTTCCCATCCATGCCCTTTCCTCTCTGGTCAGAGGTGCTGATGGGTAAAAGCGAAGGAGAAAGAGGAGGGGGGTCCTTCCCAGCCCAGCAGCTGATGGTCACAGCCTGGATGAGTGCAGCGGCATTGTGGAGGTGGGAGGACAGTCACCTTGAAAGAAGGTGACAGCATAGACCTACCTCCTTCCCCCAAGGGTGGCTATACGGAAATTTAAAAAAGGAGGGCAAGTCCTGTAAGGATCACCAGTCTCCCTAATAAAACCTCTGGGGCATTCCCAAATGAGCTCAAATAAAAGTCACCCCACTCCTTCCCCAACTCTCTCTGAAGACAAATGTCCCATCCACTCTCCTTTAACTTTGAAAGATGCCCACTGTATGGTCCCAGTTAATAAAGCTGTAGAAAGTGAGGCAGTGACCCCACCAGAGGCAAATCAATAGCAGCAGGGCCCCTGGGTATTGCATACTTTAAAATATGCCATTTGAAATGCAGATTTTCCCTGCCTGGGCTGGGGCCACAGAGCACTAATCAGAAAGGCAGCAGCCTTATTATCTCCGACTGATTCAAGGGGACGGAGAGGAGCTTTTTCCTTCTTCAGCTGAAAGGACATACTTCCTTTTGCTTCTCTTACTTCCTTGGCTTGATCTTTGCCTCAGCACTTAGAGCTTTTTCCCATCTGATTTTGTAGATTTATTCCCTCTTTCCTCCAGCCTGGCCTTTACTATTGCACAAATATTTATCTTCTGAGGAGACCAGGAGATGCTACCAAACTGGTTCATGCCCATGGACAGCACCTCAAGAGCTATGATCCTGCAGTCACCATCCCCAGGCTTGAGAACTGGGAATGTCATCCAAAGCATAGGGAGGGGTGGTAGTGATGGCTGGTCAACAGACAGAGGTGGGAGGATTCATCTCACACACCTTTTTTCTACCTCAGGTTGAGGTGGCTAAACTTCAGCCAGCTCTGTAATCAGTGGATGGATAGGCACCTCCACAAGTTTATCCATCCTACCTTAGCATGGGAGATTAAGACAAAACCAGCAAAGGATTCTGTTTTGCAGCACAGCTGAACCAAAGCAAGAGCTCGCTGACGCACATCTCCCTTTCTATGTCTTGTTGCTACTTTTGCACCAGGACAAGCACAAGCTTGACGCTTCCAAGCACCCGCTCAGGAACGCCACTAGCAGAGCGTTAATGACACAGCACAGAAATGTGGCTCTTACTGCTGGTTTTCCTCCCAAAAGTGGCTGCCTGTGTGGTCCCTGTCAGTCTAGTGGTGT